TATATATATATATATATATATATATATATATATATATATATATATATAGATATATATATATAATATTGTATATACGTAACACTGATGTTGTCACACTGACATCTTTTCTAAATGCCTGGATGTTTTAAATTTTCTAAAAACTTGGACAATATGAGTTATATTTCAAAAACTCTGATTAATAATTTAAACACACACACACATATTTATCAATATATATGTGTGTGCGTGCACACGCAATTTACAAATACACATATATATATATATATATATATTATTTATATAACATAATAAAGTATCCCTTATATATATATTGTCTTCGGATATATTTATATTTTTCAAAGCCAGTCTCTGGTAGGTGCTTTGTTAATGGGAGTGGGTTTGATTGGTGGGGTTGTATCTTATCTCGGGGGGGACATCTGATTCATTTATTTATATCTTTTTTCTTAGTTCAATATCAGCCTACGATATTTTAGGTCAACTTTTCTGGGATTCACAGTAAATAGTTTTTGTACTCTAAAGCAATGCGGGATTTGAACTTAAGTCTGTTAGGGTTAATATAAATTAGTTGAGTTTATAGATTGTGGGTAATACCAAAACACCCAGTGGTATAACTCGTGGTGTCCAATATATGCGTGAATTTACCAGATCATACATACATGCAACTGTACGTACGCATATATATACCAAATATATGCATTATATTTATGCAGTTTGGTATTTATTCGTGTGAGTACATTTCGTGATTAATTATCTCCGTTGATTTAATAGTGTGCTTTGAAAATTATATATTTTATTATCATTCATTTTTTCTTTTAAATATAGCTTGCATCTATCCCAAATTATTGTGGGGGTTCACAACCTAGAATTTTCCAATTTATTATTATATATATATATAATATAAATATATATATATATATATATATATATATATATCCAGGTACTTTTCTTGCTTTTTACCCCATGGGAAACATACTAGGAAGATAGTACCTGGCTGATTTCATTTATATATATATATATATATATATATATATATATATATATAAAGGTTTGGGTGGATAAAAATAGTACACACATATAATATATATATATATATATATATATATATATATATATATATGTGTGTACCCCGTTATAAAACAGTGCTCAATGTTAAATGACAGAACTTTTAAGTTTATATTAGTAAATATGCATATCCTACGAAACTGATGAAAACACGCATAATATTACAATTAGTTATTTATAAGTTAATTATTTATCCTTAATTATTTAACCCCTTTCGCACCTGGATATGTGTGTAAGTTTAAACACCGATGCGTATTTTGCATGTCATGTATTCATAATATATATATATATATATATATATATATATATATATCCATATATATATATATATATATAAACAAAGATATAAGAAATATTGTATTTATTGAAGAGAGCAGAACAAAAATAAACAAAAAAAAACAAACTATACTTTTAAAAATTATAATATATTTAAATATAAAAGTATTAAATTATTTTAAATTATAAGCTAATTGATTTCCTTTAAAATCATAAAAAAGTTAAACAGACGACGGAAACACTAGTGATTATATATTTTGAAAAAATCCCAAAATGCGAAACAACTTTGTGAAGAGATAAATAAAAAAAAATACAATTATATATATATATAGCCATTCCGGTCTTATGTTGCCCTCATGTTCCTAGACATATATGATTCCATCAACAAAACATCACTTTCGTCCGATAAAGTCCTAAGTGACGAAAGTCGTCTCACATTTTTTTGTTCCAAATTTTTATTAAAATATATATATATATATATATATATATATATATTTAGTGAGAGAGAGAGAGAGAGAGAGAGTGATTGAGAGAGAGAGTAAAAATCTGTGGGTAACTAATTCAAGTGAATCTTATTAATATAAAATATTCAAACTTATCCACAGAAGAGAGCTGAATATATTTTATCAAACTTTTTAGTATTGACAATCTCAGGGAATTTATCCTGAGTATCGAATATATATATATATATATATATATATATATATATATATATATATATATATATATGTGTGTGTGTGTGTGTGTGTGTGTGTGTGTGTGTGTGTGTGTGAGAGAGAGAGAGAGGTTTACGTTGTGTTTTGTGTGTGCAATGTTTCTGGGGTTAGGATTTTATTAAAAAATAATCCTGTTTTTAAAATATCAAGCCCCAGTAGTTATTTCCGCCGTCGATGTCTTTTGATTGCGGATATACATACGTTCGCATCAACTACCCTTATGCAATTTTGATCTTATCAAATGAGTATATAATGCCCATTTTCATAAATACCTTTTAACAACCGTCTACTGATTCCACGAAAAGGCATTAGAATTTTGTGATCGATAACTGTTCATTTAGAATTATGAAGGCTCTGCCAGTTGAAATGCCATTGAGTGAGCTTTCTCCGATATACCCCTGTAGCAACCTCCCTAAGGATTTGCTTATTTTATTCAATATATATGTATATATATACATATATATATATATAATTAATAATATTAAAATGCTAATCAAATTCAACTATGAAGAATTTCCGTAAGACGTACTGCTACCCATATTTCGTGGTCATCTGCCAGACCAATCTCAGTAAATTACTACACTATTACGGATACGGATATTACAGTCAAAAATGGGATCCTAACGCACGCCAGTTAAATCTTCCCTGGCGACTCAGGTCGTTGCAAACTATCAAAGAATAGAGCCTATATCTAAAGCCAGGATGTCAAATTCTGATATTTATTGAAAGCTCGACGGAAATCCGTATGAGAAAGATTACCAAAACGCAGTTTTCTTATTTCCATTTATCCCCGATTGGCTTCGTGACCAAATAAATTAAGCATCTTCATGGAAAATGTGTCCGTTTAATATCTGACAGATTATTTACAACTTGAGTTGCTTGGTGTTCTTGGTGCTGCTTGAGTATATTTAAAGGCTCAATTACGAATAAATACTTTCATGACAACCTTAAACTTCTTATAGCACAATCTTTCTGTTTATATACCTAAACCTGTCATGGGCCTCTCCAACATCTAATATTGTGATGCTTTAATTAATTTTCTACCTTATAATCTTTCTTTGTCTTTGTTCTGACATCCATTCGCACAAAATTGTCAAATATATTACACGTTGTTTCCTTCTTTGTTCTGACATCCATTCTTTTGTTACTGCATCAGAATGCTTCATTTCTCTTTCCAATAGAAATTTACGTTTCCTCTTTCTACATGTAGAAATACAAAAGGCGAATATCTCACTTTAGTCGAGATGGGTCAGTTACTGCCGTTTATTGATCTCACTTCACAGAGTGACGAAAGTAGTCAGTCCTTCAGTCGGTTTCCAGGTGTCAAACCGAACGGTTGTCTTGCCCGGCCTTCTGCTCGGTGTAACCAGCTGTGACGTGGTGCAACTTACAAGCCCATGGCGTCATTTTCCTATGAAAATATATCTTCTCCAGATGTAAAAAAAAAAAACATATATCCGGCTTTCAGTCCGCTATTTTGAAAAAAAAATGACTTGCTGTTTATTTATCTGAGGAGAATATGTCCCCGATAGTGACATAGATGAATTCGGCACGCTCGAATCTTGAATCCAAAATATAGCTTCGCCAGGGACACAGAAGCATCTCATGCATTTCTGTTAGAAAGAAACACCCTATTATTTCGTTACCTTTTCAAATTGCATGTATTATAACTTCTATTCGTGGGACATATGTATATATAATTTATATCATTTATATACGACTTAGCGGTATAAAATTCTCTCTGAGAACAAACATGTTTTCCATTCCTTTCATTAGTCAGCTATTCAGTTCTGTTTGTGAAATAGGGTTTTATCATATCATGCATAGAATCTGGGAGATGAAACCACCCTTCTATAGCTGACAAATTACCTGGTGATACCTAATGTGACATAATATTTATATGTATATATTGTAACCTAGAAAGGGTTACGGAATGAGGAATAATCAAAACGGAAGTAGGGAATGATATGGAAATCTATATAACATCAGCAAAATACAATCCTCGCCAGCGGCGTGAAGTAGGTAAGCGAATGGTATCTGTGGATTACTTAGAGACCATTTACCACCCCCACCTACTTACAATAGTGTCCAACGTTTTATTAGGATTGGAACATTACTGTTCATAGATACGGTATATAACAATATATATATTAAAACATATACTGTGAACTATAACAGACAACGAATGTCTATTATGTTTGATCATGAACCGTTCTAAACTTCGTATAGTAGCTTTAATTTCAGGAGAAAATAAAGAGTTTTAATACGAAGTTAAAACGGTTCTTCATCAAACATAATAAACATTCGTTGTCTGTTATATTTAACAATATTTTTAAATAATTATCTACTGCTCAAATAAACTAAATTCGTAGCTTTTACTTTTTAAAAAGTGCTCAATACAGAGAAATATATTATTATTATTATTATTATATTTTTTCTCATAAGAGATTATAATAAAATCATTTTGAAATATCTGAGAGCTGCAATGGATAGAAGGAGGTGGAGAGCCATGATCACCTACGCCCTGAAAGTACATGGCATTTACTAACGAGTCGTACGTGATACACGCTTGGTGGATCATGTCTCTTTCCATTCAGGACTCAAAGTAGTAGGCTACCATTTCTTTCAGCCTTAGCGTGGTTGCCAACCGAGGTTATAGGTTCTTGGTTTCTTACTGCGGTAGACTGAATGTAACGAAACCAACTGAAATTCGAACTCTGCTTTCTGATGCCTTATTCCGAGACGTTATCGATTACACAACACTACCAACATTTCTGCATATAATTAATTTAGACGTCTTTAATAGGTAGAACATATATTGATATACTGATGATCATGTATCGCCCTTTCTAACAGTAATTAGTATATTTTTTTCTTGCCTTCCTTCGCGACCTTGTGTAAGCATTCTTTATGTTCCCCGTCTCTTGATTACGGGCACATCACGTTAAAAGATCGTTTCTCGTATGATCACCGAAGTTAAGCAACGTCGAGCCTAGTTAGTACATAGATGGGTGACCGCTTGGGAATGCCACGTTCTGTAAGCTTGTATGTGCTGGTGTTGATACTGGCACAGAATTTTGTATCGGAGAGCAGAATTCCAATTCCATTTAAGTTCATAGTATTCACTTCCGCACAACTAACCCTGGGAAAGGTATGAATCACTTCCCCCCCCCAGTTATGGTTTAATTCCTAAAACTTGTGTCACTAACACCATTATTATCGAAGAAAATGCAGACAAAATATTTAGATTTCGGCATTAAATAACCCATATAGGTTTTCATATATCACTAAAAAAAATACAACCAACCATTTTCTGTCTGTGATTGTTAGCAATACAGTTTCATACACATATTATAAGTTATTATAATTATGCCTGTCAGTAAGAAATCCCGGTAGGAAACGTAGTTATCTTTCGATTACGTTGCTGTGCAGGAGAACACCGACGAGAAAGAATAGCAGTTTTACTATGCTTTCTATTATTGTGGAGTAAATTAGCCCACCCACTCTCAGTTTTGCTATATAAGAATAAAGTGTCGCTGCCGACACTTGAGTTTGAACATAGATCGCCAGAGAGCAAACATAGACAATCCCATTACTGAAATACGTAGACCATGTTACCATAGAGGAAACGCATAAGTAGGAAGTGGCATGGCATCCAACTGATCTGCATTTCCACTGTATCATCTATTACTATTCGGATCACTATTTCTAGTCTATCCTCTATTACTATACGGACCGCTATTCTCAACTCTATTCACTGTACTATTTCTCTATTCAGATTATTTTACAGGTTTATTCGAAGCCATCTGACACCAGTATTGTTCAACGGCATTACTATAGTTGTATCTGCGATTACAAAGTCTCAACTACAACGAGCATTACGAAAGTGACAACGAATATTGGTTGACATCACAAACGTGGCAACGAGTGTTCATTGAAATCCGAAAAAAGTTTGTTGGTTAATGCAGTCTAATTGCTTTATTCATTCATCGTAAATTACTAACGCATTCCATCTACCCGATCTAGTAATTATATTTTCCTTGGCATATCTACATCTTCCGTCGAGTCTTTGAAAAGTGGGCGGACATGTCACTCAAACTAAAACAATCTTAATTATATAAAATGAAATCATATGGATAAATTGCAGAGATAATAACACAATATATAGATGTAAATAAATACATAAATATATAAGCAAACAAATGGACATTATTCCTAAAAAAAAAGAAACAAAAGGTCAGATTCTTTCTTCCTTTTCGCAAATCCCACAATGATATATATATATATATATATATATATATATATATATATATATATATATATATATATATAGATAGATAGATAGATAGATAGCAGAAGGAATAATTTTACATGATTTAAATCGCTATATGGGCATTTATATTACGGTAGTCATTCTCTCTTTCTCTCCCTCCTTCTCTTTCTCTCTCTCTCTCTCTCTCTATCTCTCTCTTGTTCTCGAGAATACAGAACATGCGTTTACACCAAAGATAATGCAGTCATCAAAAAAAGAGCTCCGTCTTAGCAAATGCATTAGAAGCAATTAATCGAGAATTAAGAGCTACTACATTAAAACATATTGGTATTCCAATCATTGAATGGTCAAGGAGATGAAAAATTAAATCATTTTTTTAAATAATTAATTAAATAAATAATTAAAAAACACTGAACAGAAGTAGAGGTTTATCCCTTGTTTCCTGTTTAGGATTGGGTTTCCAGTCTCTTCTAAAGTCGTCTCCAGCTCTATACTCCTAATGCTTGTCATTTCTTACACTAATATAAATAAATACAGTAACCATCTGCATTGAGTGGCTCTTGGGCTTTATACTCTGATCACTATAAAAAAAGAAAAATTTTGTAAATATTTGTTTGTGAGATAGAGAGAAAGTTAGAGAGAGAGTGTGTTCGTTTATATATATATATATATATATATATATATATATATATATACTCAATTCATCCCCGGCAAGCCTATAATGCCACTAAGATGCAAGTGGCTACTGCTAGTGAAAGAGAATAAGAAGATTTTCTGCGCAACCGGAAAGTCGAACCTAAACAGGAAACAAAAAATAAACCTCTATTCCTAGGCAAAAGTCTGGGGAAAACACCGGCCGTCTGATTGTTGCGTAAAGTTCAGGAAACTGTTAGTCGTGGCCGTTCACTGGTCACTGAAAATGTTATTTAAATATATATTAAGGTAATGGCCATTTAATATCGCATAATATTTTTCTTCCAGTCTGCCTCTTTAGCAAACTCTTTTAGGAGCTACATATTTTATCCTTACAACTTGACAGGGGTTTACAGGGTGTGAAATTGAGAGAAACAATTATAGATGGGAAAGAGGAAGAGATAAAATATGAACTAGATTCTAAACGATAGACGTTGTATTTAATTTTTTGAAGATCGTTGCTATCAGGGAAGCAAGCAAATGGAAGGGAGTTTCACAGGCGGGAAATTGGAGTAGAAGTGGCGGTTGCATTTAGTTATTTGAACAGTAAAAGGGCGGGAAGATTCATGTAGTCGGGGTACCAGGGTAAAAAAAAGCTCGTTAATGAAAATAATATTTGTAGAGAAGAATCGGGAAGCCATATGTCACGACGTTGAGAAAATGACTGAAGTCGAGATGCCAAGGCAGGATCGATTACATTACATATCATTCTTTGGATTTTATCAAGAACCTCGTGATGAATAGCAGGAGAACCAGTTCAGATATAGTAACAGTATTCAATGGGAGGACGAACGGTAGATTTGTAAATGTGCAAGATGGACTTTGACGTTTAAAATCTTTTGGCACGACATAGTGACGCAACTTTCTTTGCAGTTGATGCAGCTATTGATTCAATATAGTCGTTCCACTTCAAGTCAGTTGAAAAGGTCAAGCGAAGAAGACGTATTGTGAGGCTCTCCAGGAGTCTGGCATCAGTCAAAAAAAAAATGTTCTTTCAAAAATACTGAAGCTACCAGCGTCTCTCGTTTTGTGCGCATGTGTAGACGTGGCAGCATCAACAAAGCCCATTTCGATGAAATCTTAACGCATGAACCGCGTCACAAAATCTTTTATCCATTCTGTCTTAGATTTTTCTAAATATTGTTGATATAAAAAATTATGCAAAATTATATATCGTTATAACACACACACACACACACACATATATATATATATATATATATATGCTAAAAATATATTTTTATACATTTATTTTTTTTATATATTTATTTGAGAAGTGATCAGTATCGTGGATGGAGCGTAAGTAAATAAAAAAAGGGGAGACACTAACGGTAAATCAGACGGCGACAGTCTGTCTGTATATTGAAAATGATCCAGACAGTCGCCAGTCTCGGATAACCTTAATGTACGGACTGATATATATATATATATATATATATATATATATATATATATATATATATATCAGTGTGTGTGTGTGTGTGTATCTGTACACATACAGGGAACACACTACACTAAACTTAAGTTATATTTGTACAGAAAACTTGGAAATGATTATAAAGAAACATAATGCTAATATCTTGAGTAAACACTTAAAACAAATTCATAAAAATATAGAGAATAAAATAAAAACAAACGAAAATAAGAGAAAATATTTTACTGTAGAAATCCTCAAAACATTCGTGTTAATAATAAATGTAGCACTAAATCAGTTATGTACCAATGCAATATCTCATCTATTGAGGATCCAAAGTGAAAGTCTGCATTGGCTCCACAAGACATGAGTTCAAGAAGCGTTTTCACCAACATCAATTTTTTTTAAAATAAGTAAATACCGGAATCAAACGTCCCTATCAACTTCTGACACTTAAAGGAAACCAATAAAGCATTTACTGTAAAATGGAAATTACTAAGAAATGCTTGAGTTTGTAGGTCCTTAAATGACCCATGTCCTTTGTGCATACATGAGAAATCATATAGTGTTAAGTTTATGAATAATAAAAAATTGCTTAGTCAAAGAAATGAATCTGTCTATATTTCTTCTTCCCTAGAAGAACGGACCAGTATTCCAATAGATAATCTGATGGAGATGTTGACTTTCTGTACACAAACAACACACTTTGGAATGGGATCACACATATATTAACAGGATGAGGGCTTAGCAATGGGTTCGCCATTATCACCATATACATGCTTTGAGAAAGGAATATAAAGGAGAGACAGGCCTCCCCCCAAGGTAAGGCTTCAAGAACACCAAACTCAATAAGAAACAACACGAGGGGAAGTAAGTGAAAAATCAGGCATGGCTGACCACATATGGAGAGATCCGTAGGGAGATCACCGCCCTCTGTGGGATCCATGTTGAGATCATAGACAAGGAAAAAAGTCATTGGCGATTGGAAAATTCGTAAACTTTTGGTCAGGAATCAAGCACATATGCATAGGCCACAAAAACTCTAGGCGAGCCGACCAAGCATAAAAATAAATACAATATGAGAGAACCAGTAATAAGGAGACATTTCGCCAGAGAAAAACATGACAATGATGACAACAAAGTTGCAATATGAGTCCTGGTAAAAAACATACAATGATAACAGCAAATTGCAATATGAGCACAGGTAAAAATGCTTGCTGAAGACATTATAACACCCAGAAATTCATACCCAGATGTCCTCAAGAACACATGGCACAGTGGATAAAGGCATTGGTTAGATACAGTGACAGGACCCAAAGAGTGTGAGTTCAATACCCGGTTAAGGCAGTGGAGAATTTGAAGAGGGAAAATTAATAGGAAATAACTGATAACTGACATCCATCAAACATGGCACGGGGAACTAGAACAGTCTAACCCAGTGAGCGAAATAAAGGGTTCAGTTCTACATTCCAACCACCTGAAGAAAGCCGGTGCGTACAACGGCCGAAACGTCGTGATAAATATGGCGATAAAGATGAGGACAATAGTCTAAATAATGTACAGAAAGAAATGAAATAGCTATTTTCTGTAGACACTGTAAAACGTTTTTCTTAAATAATAATTATATATGATTAGATGAAAAATGAAACATACATATTCAAA